ATGATACTGCACATAATTCTCAGATGGAATGAACTCCCTCATCTAATCATCAATCTGCCCGACTCTAGAGTTCGAGCCTGATCCATTGTCGACACCAGGACTACCATCTTGTCTACTACATAACGTCACTATACTCGGCAATATACCATCACTAACGTCACAATACTCATCAAAACTCAAGGGATCTCACACACTACAAGTTCCCTGGTCTTATCTCAACCTTCCTTGATTCGAGTACGGATCCTCTGCTTTCAGTAGTAAGGGCCCATACTACCTTCCACATCTATCCGTACTTTCCTCAAGAACTACCTTGACTCCACCAAGTCACTTCTACTACTACTGATCTCTGCTTCTCTCATCCTAGACTCGCCCTAGGGAAACTTATGACTCATCCAAACCAGTCCTTAGCTGCTGAAAGTCCCTTTATAATGCCAATTAGCCACCACATGGATACCATCACATGCAATGAGGCTCAGATAATCCTTCGAGTAAGGGACTCATCCCTACAACGGTTAGGACTCAGACAAGAGCTACGCAATAGGGTTAAATCCAATCCTCTAAGATTATTCAACCCTGATTGCATGTGACTTAACGTATCCACCTAATAGCTAACTCCCATCACTCAAAGTCCCACAAAGCACAAAGCAAGCAACATTCAAACCAAGGGAAACTACTCAAGCAATCTATTCTCATAACAAGAAATTGTAATAGCATACAATACTAAGCTCATACTATCAAGCATAACCTAAACAGGCTATCCTACTACTATCTACTCAATACTAGCACGCAATTCTCATAAAGCTGAAACACATAAAGCAGGCACATAAGGCATCCTCCTAGATCCTTAGTCCTATACTAGCATGCTGTTCTATTGAGACTGAAGCTCAAACTAAAACTGAAACTGAAACTGATAATCATAACATAATTTGTATGGGTAATTTGGGAGTACTTACTTAAGCTCGGTTGATTGCATTCACAACACCTTTTTTTTCTTTTCAAAGTTCTTTTCTTTCTAAAAATTCTTTTCGCTTTTTCTAAAACTCTTTTCTTTTCTCAAAACTCCCTTTTTATAAAAGCTGATTTAATATTGAAAATTTCTATATCAATTCCTTAGTTTGAGTTCAGACACAACCGAAAATGTGCCCGAATCCCTCAAACCAAGGCTCTGATACCAACTTGTAACATCCCAAAAACACAGTCTGAAAATTTCGTTTAATTTAATAATAAAAACCATGGTCAATAAACCTCATATAAAAATCGTAAACAATGTATCTCAAAATATTATAACAAATGTCAAGTATATCAGAGTATTGACATCCCAGGCTAAACAATGTATCTCAAAATATTATAACAAATGTCAAGTATATCAGAGTATACACATCCCAGGCTGAACAAATGGTGTGTGCACTACAATTTTCCCGAGCTCCTCTTTTGAAAACCGAGTACCTGAAACCAAAATTGAAATTGTAAGCACAAAGCTTAGTGAGCTCCCCCAAGCTACCACAAACCATAAAATAACATATAAAGCACATACTGGGCCTTGCCCACTGCATCGGACCGAAGTCCGGAAACTGCATCAGACAGGAGTCCTGAAACTGACCAGGGCCTTGCCCTCTGCATCGGACCGAAGTCCGGAAATTGCATCGGACCGAAGTCCGGAACTGATTAGGACCTTGTCCCCTGCATCGGACCGAAGTCCGGAACTAACTGCATCGGACCGAAGTCCGGAACTGACTGCATCGGATCGAAGTCCGGAACTGACTTGACATAGCATAGCATAACACATCAACTAACATAAACACATATACTGCATACTGCATCGGACCGAATTCCGGAACACATAACACATATACATGCTTGAATCACAAAGACATCAAGCACCCTGATCTACTGCATCGGACCGAAGTCCGGGACTGACTGTTAACTAGATGGGCCAGCATTGTGGTCGTAGACCTGTTCCTACTAGAAGGAAACTCACCTCACACTGCTGAAGTCCCGTAGACTCGACCCTAACTGCTAGATGACAGATTCCCGATCTGTCAACATCAAAATAACACCCAGTTAATAATTGGGTTCCATTACATAACTATAGTTACATACTTTAGATAATTACTACATTACCCGAAGCTTGGCTTACCCAATCCCAAGGTCCAATCCATAGGCCCAAAGTCAACTAGGGATCAAAGCCCAACATATGACCCAATTTTCCAAATTGGGCCCAAACCTCCACATGGACTTCCCTTAAGGCCCAATTGCTCAATCCGGTCCAACATGTCTCATTCTAAGGGCCCAATATCGTACAACCATCTAGGCCCAAACTATGGCCCATCTATGGCCTAATTTTCCAAATCGGGCTCAATCCTTCATATGGGCCTTACCCTAGAGCCCAACTAATTACTCTAATCCATTTAATTATTCTTGGATGGCAACACAAAGCCCAAGTGAAACTAGGGTTTCTCATAAAATAATAATTAGGGTTAAGTGTTTCTCACTTAACCCATTAAGGGCTGAACCCACTAAGAACTTAATCCATTAAGTCCATTATTGCTTAGATTAATTTCTGCCAATGATTATTATTTAATATTTCACTTATTAAATAATTCCCGTGTGTGTGTCCTGATAATTTCTCAAATATTAGTATTTTCTCAATTAGCCCATTAAGGACTTAGTCCATTAAGTCCTTTATTCTACTAGATAAATGGTATGAAATAGTTTGGGCTTGATTCACAATCCAATCCTAATGGCTAAAAAGTGGGTCCAAATAAGTCCAAGGCCTAAATACTCATAATTAGGGTATTCCACCCAAACATGGCCCAATAGGCCCAAAACCAATCTCTAAGCCCATTGGGGTTTGCTAGCGGGGCACCACCCACTACCACCTCAGGTAGTGGTGGTTGATGGCGGCTCACGGCGGCGGCCACCACCTTATAGTGGTGGTTACTATTATTTTTATTATTCATGCTAATTACAATTACAAGGTTTTTATCCAAAAATAAACACATACACACTAACACACACTAACTAACACACACACACACACACTAAACAACATAAACACACACAACCACCTTGTGGTGGCTGGTGGTGGGAGATGGTGGCAGAAAACAGTTTCAGGGCATCAACCACCATGGTCGGCGGCCATGGTGGGTTTTTCTCTCATTCTTCGGCTACGCTTACAGATATACACAAGAAACATAATCAGCAGCAGCATCACGCTAACTTGAACAAACCCCCACCTAGAGATGTGCAATGGGAGGAGGTCGGCAACAGAAAAAACAGTCGCTGGGGTGGTAGTGGCATGAGATGACGGACAGCAGAGGCACATACGGCAGCAACAACGGCGGCTTCCGATGACAACAGCCACGTTCAGCTCTTCTGGTTTCTCCCAAGGTTCCCATCACCCCATCTCAATAAACCTTAATCATGCCGGCAGCAGATCAATGGTGACGTTAATGCAACAGAACAACTGCAACAGTAGCGGTTGGCGGCGGCGCTGGACAACCCTAGCAACATCGGCAATGTGGCTGAAGGTGAGACAAAAGAAGAAGAGTGAGTGGCGAGCAGTCTTACTTAGGGCCTCATTATCGCAGATAACTTGCACAACGACGCACACTGTGGGTTTTTCCCCGGTCTTCGGCGGTCCTTTGATGGCCACGACGTCTCCGGCAGTCGCATATTGGCAGAACTTCGGCGAGCAGCTTCACCTGGTAGGAACAACAAGAAAAGGGGAGGCGGCGGCTGGCAACTGGCTGGAAATGGTTTCTTAGGTTAGGGTTGAAGATGCGATGTGGGGGGAAATGGATACGAGTATATCCCGTGTCCATTCAAACTTCCATTCCTTTATCCAAGATCCATCAGATTAGTCCCCCATTATTTCAAAATCTTAACAATTTAAATCCTAATAATTACCAAGCATACCCTTACTTATAAAATTCTTCTCAAATAAACTCTGTAATTTACTAAACAACCCCCAACTATCAAAATTCTTCACACATTAGTCTGGGACTCACATTTATTAATTTATTTAAATAACTAGGGCGTTACACTAAGAGGGCCGATTTCAAGAAAGGTTGTGACTATTCTCTTAAGTTTCCAAGTTTATGGTGATTTGTGACTTCCATTTGAGGCATCCATACTATTGGTGCTAGGCTCTCAAACTCCAAGCAATCAACTACTACTACAAGGTAAGTAATTCTACAAGATTTATTTGATTCAAGTACCCCATGCCATGCTAGTTAGGATAAGAACCTTGGAAAAATAATTATTTGCATGTATCTTAGTCAAACATAGATCCAAGGTTTCTAGGGTTGCATGTACACCATAGGAGTGTTAGAATGCTCAAAACCCATCAACTTTGTCATGAAGTTCGTGGTATTGATCCATACCTGGTCCTTCTATAATCGCTTGGTGTATACAAGTCGTATACACTACTAGAAAAATAGCCTTTTACGACGCTCATCGCGCGTCGTAAAAGGCTCAGACGACGCGCAAATGCGCGTCAAGAAAGACCATGTCATAAAAAGAGACGACGCGAAATTACGACGTGCGTTTACGACACGCAATGCGTATCAAGGAAGGCCCTGTCATAAAGGAAGATGACACGCATTCGCGTGTTGTAACCTTAAGACACGCGTGTTAATGACACACAATGTGTATCAAGAAAGACCCTGTCAAGAAAGGCCATGTCATAAATGAAGATGACACACACTTTTGCGTATCATAATTTTAAATGTTTAAAAAAAATATTATTCATAGATTTACTAATTTTCAAATTAAATTTGTATTTAATGTCTCATAATAGAAAATAAAATATCATATACAAAAAATACAATCCATTGCATAAAATTTAATGTCATACAAATAATTGTTCCATGGAAAGATAAAACAAATCAATAGAAGTTGTAACAAAAATTTACTAACTAATTAGATACAAGAAATATAAAAAAAAAATATACCCTAAAATGCTTTTCAAAGTCTAATCTCCATGTCAGCTCTTCAACTCACTTCTCCAGTTTGTCCTTAGCTTCTTTAAGGGGTCGAGCATCTCTTGCAGCCTGTGACAACATTCTTAATTCTTTCCTAAGTGACACCTTTTTCCTGTCTGCTTGTGTTGAGTAAAAAGTTCAAAATATGTCCATCCCTAAGTGCACACAACAACTAAGGTATCTTTAATTAAACATTAAAAACTTTTTACAAATTTTCCCTCATAGATGAAGATAAAGATGAAGATGAGATGAGAATCATACACCTTCAAAGGCACAAAGAAGAACAGAACGTGGTATTATTTCGCCACCTAGAATGGGGGTAAAACTGTAAATAACAAATAATAACAAAGGAATAACAAACTATGGAAGCAAAGGAAGAACACTTACTGCTAAAGGAAGAAAAGGAATAACAAATTATTTCGCCACGTGGTATTACTACAAGATAATAATAATAATAATAATAATAATAATAATAATAATAATAATAATAATAATAATAATAATAATAATAATAATAATAATAATAATAAAACCAAAGGAAGAACACTTACTGCTAAAGATAAGGCTTCAACAGCTTTATCAACCTCTTCATATGATTCTTTTAGATGGATCTTTTTAACACGGTTTTTCCATGAAGATTCCATCTCTTCAAAAAAATCATTTGGTATGTTTGGATATGAACTTGTTTTCTGATCCTTTTCACCATCTAAAGAGATAAGTTCACAAATTCTATGGGAGATAGATTCACATTCATTCACCTGAAAATAACCAAACAAAGTATAGATAACAGATAAGTCTCATGGTATATAAAAGAATATATATATATATATATATATACACACACACACACACTATCAATTGCATCTCCAGAAATAAGTAAAGAAGCCACACAAAAACTTACCAACAAAATATTGGCTTCATCCATGGATGGCAGATCAACACCTTTCTCAAAAATTGGCTCCACCTAACAAAAAGAGCACAGAGAATAAGGGGAGGAAATTTTCTTGACACTTTAAACAGAGATATCAAAGTTGTACCATAATATTTATCACCTTTCTAATGGAAACAAAGTCTGAACAAGTAACAAGCAGGTTCACAATGCTTTTACAAATGCTTTCTTCGTTAGGTCTGATATAATCAACAAAGCTCTTCAAAAGGTAAGTCAGGAAAGAGACAGTCTGCAAGAATAAGATAGGGTAGAAATGTATAAGGGTGGTAGAGATTTGTAGACAAAATAGGGTATAAAAAGGTACCTGGATTCTTGGGGGACTTTTGACTTCGAGGTTTGCAGATGCAGTGGAGGTGAAAGTAGAAAAAGGGGTGGAGAATGCGATGGAATTATCAATGGTAAGGGTGGTGGTAGAGATTTGTAGACAAATCTTGCCAACCTTCAACAATGGAATTGTGCCCACTTCCAGAAGTGGTAATAGCTCAGAAAATGCAGTGAACCTGTTAATTGTTATGTTACCACACAAACAAAAAATGTTTCAGAACATAACAAGGGTAGAATGGGAAAATTAAGAAATTATGAGGAAAATGGTTGGAGAAAGATGTAAACATGCTTACTAAAAAAATTGATTAACAATTAAGTGAAGCAAGCAAAGTAAGAAGAAACAGGTAAATAGGGAAGGAACTTGAAATTACTCTTAGAATGCTTATAAGGAGATGATTCTAAAGGCTTTAAGTAGTATTAAGAAAAGGTGGGGCTATAGAACAATTACAGTTTCCTTATAGTGAACTTAGGTTATTTATAATTATAATGGCAAGACTTGATGGATGTGGGGTAGATTTAACTTAATTTTCAACAAAGGGTAAATAGGTTATTTAACTTAACCTTTAAAGACTCAAGATTCTTGTAACTCAAGATAGGGTCGGGAGAAAGACCCAGCTAACCCACAGGTTCAACCTTGACTCTCTAGTTGAACAATTTTACTTCTCCAAGTGGCTTTTGTTGAACCATTGGGACAAGAGCAGCTTTTGTTGAAGATTGTTGGCATTCTTAATAGCCAGTTAGCACCCCGAAGATATTTACCTTCCAAAAAACAACACAATTTTTGTAGCCTACATAAGAGATTAGTTATATCAAATCAAAAATAGAAAATCTTGTATCCATGGTTGTTCACCTCAATAACCATGTGAACATGGATATCTCCAATTTCACTGGCTTTGTCTAGTCTCATCTTGTATCCATGGAGAGCATCTGTTCATATATATTAATCGGGAAATGGTCATTATCAACAGTCTGATACAATCTTGGCAGCTGTAGGTTTTGTTTTTTGTTATATCAAAGTATGTTCCCTAATAAGCTAAAAGTACCAACAAAGTACCAAAGTAGGATATTATTTTACAAATAAAAGAATCCACCAAAATACCACAGGAACCATCTCTCTGTAATTTACAGATTAAACATTTATGCATTCAACAATCGGTCAAATACCGCAGCCACCAATTCTATAATTTACTCTTTTCTATATTTCTTGTTTCGAATTATCTTGGTTTTTAAATTGTAGTGAGTTTTTGAAACAACAAGTTATATTTAATGTTTAATAAAGTGTGGAATCAAGGGAAAATTAACATCATATGCTTTATTAGTTTTTTAAAATTGGATAAATGAAATAAAATAACAAAATTTAAAGATTAAGCCACATGTGCCTTTGCTCAAGTAGCAAAAATATGTCAAAATAACATCCTACTTTGTCAAAACACGTTATTTTGGTAAGATTTCAAACTAATATGTTATTTTCAAAGATTTAAGTACTTTGAAAACCAGTCAAAATAGGATGCTATTTACGTGTCTTTTTTTTGACCAAATACAGAAGGGTTTAGAAGAGAAAGCAAGAGAAATTAAACTTTCCCCATGAAGTCCCAACTTTTTACAAATTTGTCTTTATATATCTTTTTCTTCCATTTCATCAAGTGTGACATAATTAACAATTTTCTCAAATATTTTATATTTATGACAATATTTGTTTTCAAACAACAATTAATGGGGGGAAAAGGAAACATGGTCTTACCCTTTTAATGGTATAGCAGATTCCCACACCCAAGGCTTAACATCTTTGTCCTTGCATATCTTTAAAAATCAAAAAAAGAAAAAAATTAATATCAAATTTTTTCAAAGATAAAACATGTACATGTTGCTAATATCAGATTTGCATACTTAGATTCTAAAAAGGCTATCAGTTACCAAGAGTAATCAAACCATGATCCGAATATGCACCAACTCCATAAATCCCATTCAAATGGTCAGACACTTAGCCTACAGCATAAACTGTTTTATCATATTTTTATTTAAAAATGATGTTGAAAAAATTAAAAATTATATTATTATTCTTTAGTTTAAATTCTCACCTTCATAATGTAGCAAGATTGCAGTCTACTTACTATGCATTTCTAATCATTCAAAAAAGTTGGCATCAAGATCAAGCAATAGGACAATAAACCTTTATATTTTCTAACTACTTCCCAAAATATAAAATGAATTTTAAAAAATACGAAAATTGACAGTTTATATAATGTTATACTACTAAATGGTCATAAAATTTGCTAAATTATATATCTATAAAAACTTACATAACCTGTTGATGACATTTTTCCATAGTCTGCCTCCATTCAAGCAAGGTATTCTTCAAAACTACTTAAACCTGAAAGAATTTCATAAATAAGAATGACACAGACAAAGGGTTATTTATCAATGAACACATAATACAGGAGGTCAGGAGCATAATCTATTCAAATCCATGACAATTATTAATTCACAGAACTTTCACACAAAAAGTTAATGAAGAGGAAACAAACCTGATCATTAGTGCTTCCTTGAGATCTTGCATTGCCTCATCTAGAGATCCATTGCTGATTTTGTTGCTATTTTGATGACAATATTTATATATACTTTGAGCATCCCCTTTATGTGTCTTTGTGAAGCTCTTTAAAATCTAAAACTCTTTAATTGAAGGAAGCAATGATTGTAGACATATATACAAATAGCTGGTGGGCAAACCCCTAAAAAAGCAAATTCTTCAGTTTACGTCATTAAAATTAGATTATATTGATACAAATCATAGAAATAAAGAAATGGAAAAGGGAGAAGGAAAAGACATACATGAAACGAAAGGGAAACAACTGCAAAAAAAAAAAAAAAAAAAAAAAGTACCACTACAGTTGCAAATATGAAATATCAATTAAGGGATATCCCGTCTTCGGTTTTCTTGAATCGGTAGAACATCTTGACTAAATTGAAAAATCAAAACGCAAATCAATGAACAATCTCCAATCTCCCTTCGTCTGCAACCATCGTTCGTGTTGCACAATGAATGATTCTTCAAGATGTTTTTTTTATCTTCAATCTCCATAAATGCTCCTCTGTTGAAATTTTGAGTGAGTTGTCGCTTTATGGTTAGAGAAGTTAGGGTTTAACATACAGAAATTTTAGAGTGAGAGAAGGTTGGTGAGGTTTACCATGAGAAAGAAAATGAAGATGAAGCTGGTGAGACTTTTGGGTTGATCACGAAGCAAGAAGTGTGCCTAAGCACAGTGCAAGAAGATTATTCCTTTGATTTGATCTTATAAATAGTAGAACCTGAGAAACATGGTGTTATTGATGATGGAAGTTAGGATTTAGTTTTGATTAGGAAAAATGAAAAAACAAACCATATTGTTTGAAAAAGAAGAGAAAGCAATGATACTTTTGACTTGGAATCCAAACACCGGTGTTGATATCAGAGAGGAAGGAGCGGTGGTTAAGAAAGACGAAGGTGGAAGAGCAGCGATGGTGCGTATGTAGGTCCCAATAGTGTTGCGGGTGCGTCGACAGATATAGAGAAAACGGTGGAAGACCACCGACCAACAAACAATTAACAACAAAACTTATGAATACAAGAAAGAGATAACTTCACCCGAGGAAGAGCCCTTATTGATGCTACTCTAGTCTTTACTATCAGATCTCTCCATGTCCACAACAAGATTTGCCAACTCGAAATGAGAAATATTAGGGTTTGGAGAGGAAAAAGGGGCCGCTGTGTTAGAAGTGTGTATTGAGTTTTTAGGGTTCAATTTCAACTCAATTATTAAAGAGTCTAAAACGATTACACGTCCTTGTACCTCACTCAATAATCGAAACCATAGAAATTCACGCCGCCGGCTCCAAAGCACCATAATCATGCTGAGATCCAGAATCGTATACGTTTGCTGTTTACAAATCTGTTGTTGAACCCTGAAGAATCGACTTAGGTATTCCCACCGCTGAAGATGAAGATGAAGGCCCTAAGGCTTTTTCTTGAGGCGGGGGGATTAATTTTTGGGATCCAATAGGCGGGGGTAATTTTCGTCGATTTCATTTCCCGCCTAAAACGCGTGTTTCACTTAAAAATTATAAAGCTACACATTTACATGATGCACATTTTATGAAAGGCGCCCTCCGCATTTCTTTTTTTTTTTCTTTTCTGACACTAATTTTAGGGCGCGTACAAATGCGTGTCTTCTATCCTTCAAATTTTGCAAAGCTGACATTATTTTTTAAGGCACGTACAAATGCGCGTCCTCTATCAGCGAGTGTCATTGTTTACGCGTCATTAAAGGGTTGTTTTCTTGTAGTGATATAATCAAGATTGAAAAGACAATTAAATAAGTGATTCTACCCTAAGCCCACAACCAAACAAGGAACAGGAGTTAAAGCGGAATCACAAATCCTAAGTTTGTAGAATCTTAATTATGTAAATAACCCTAACGTATACACTAAGTAATCATAGACTACCAGCAAGGGTCCTTAGTTTCCATATGAATGATGTGATTAACTCGGGCAAGAAAGTAATTACGACTACTTTTTCCATAGCTACTGAGTAGTTTTCATGTTTTGTTGCGTTTCAAAACCTATGATCGATAAGCTTTATTTGGCACTAGCGTTAATAAATACCGAAGCCTAAACATTGTTGTTATGAAATGTACTGATAACCACAGGTGGTTCCGGGAGAGCCTCTCCTGCAATGATCATAGGTACCCTTCCATTTCCACCTCGATTCTTTAGTTGCAGGCAATCCTTCCTAAAATACTCTGGCTGATTGCACTTATAACAATTATGGTTGTCTATCCGAATGGCATAACTTACAAACTTGTAATATCCATATCAACTTTTGAATGCTATTATAGGGACATGTTCTTCCTGAACTCTAGGTAGATGGTACCCTGATCGCAAATCAAACTTTGAAAAGAATCAGGTCCTTGTAATTTGCCAAAACATACCATTTCTTGTAGGATAACGAGTACCGATTCTTGACGGTAAGCTTGTTCAATTCCTGGTAGTCAGTCCTCTTCCTAATGAGTTCAACTTTCCTCTTCACGAGTGAGACTGGCGCTCCCCAGGGTGAGGAGCTTGATTCAATGAATCCACTGTCTTAATACTTCGTGTATTTGACTAGACAATTCTTGTATTTCTACTGGGGCTAGTCTGTATAGAGACTTTGCTACAGGGGTTGCTTCTGCGATTAAGTCGATTTTGAACTTGACTCGTTGTACGGGTGGTAGTCTCGGAAGGTATTCTGGGAATACATCGGAAAGGTTACGGACTTATGGAATATCATTGATGTCTTTCACTTCCTGTTTTTCATCCACATGGGGGCCTAGGAAGGCGTGGTACTTCTCGTGTAGGTACTTCTAAGCCTTGAAGCAAGAGACATTTGTCACCCCAGACCTACCAGTCTAACTGTAGCTATAATTTTAGGTGCGGGATTGTCAGTCACGTATAGATTTATATACAAGTATCACACTCTCTTATGGGAGATTTTGGTTATAATACATAACTTTTGTAGGTACTCTAGTAAGTACTTGAAGACTTGTCTCATAAAATGTATTAACGGTTTACGTATAGTGTAATGAAAACCCTTTTGTATGTGGAAGTATTATCCTTCCATAGTAGTTACATAATGCAAAATAATTATGCCTTTAAATAATTATTTTGTGTTGTATTTCAAACTGTAAAATAGGCTAAATGACCCATAAACTATATCTATTATAATTTATAATGTATCTTCCATTTAATGAAAATCTTTGTATTTTTAGTAAACTTTGCATGAAAAATATTCATAAGCTTGGTAGTAACGTTATTTCATGTATTTAACATTTTTACATAAAATGTAAGAAAACATAAGTCACGATTTTGTATATTAACACAAGTTCTCTTGTGTTTAACTTGTACCCTCCCCCTAAAACACGAAAATCTTGAAAATGTAGGGGTATGAACTCACCTTGAGTGTGATCGTGGTTGGATAAAAAGCGACGGTGAAGATCTTCAAGCTAAGAACACTTGAAAGTGATTGTATCCTAATAGTTTGAAACAAACGATAATGTGCGTAAATGAGATGAATTATCAAGAAAGTGTCGTATAAACACTAGATTATATAAGGAATACTTACAACAATTCTTAAGAACTATCTTGAAGATTTAGTCTCCTGGGAATTGTTTGAAGATGTTATCTGGGACACTTATGAAGATTTGAAGACATAAGACTTGCTCTTGAGAGAAAAGTGGGGAAACTTGAACATGTATATGTGGATTATGAAGGGGTTTTCGACCCTATTTATGGGTTTGGGGGAGGGGGGGGGGGTAAAGTGATGTTTGCATTGGTATGTGTAATTTATCATCTTGGGAAAAGGATCTACCAATCACATTTCAGCACTATTGAATCAAATTGGTGATTTCGGCCTATGCACCATCGAAATCACCTTTAAACCACCGAAATCACATGTGATTTCGGTCTAGGTATGATTTCAGTTTAGTTAAGATTTCGATCCTGGCATGTGATTTTGGTCCATCACAACCGAAATCTCAAGGTTTTTCGGTCATAAAACCGAGAACCCTAAAAGCAAGGTGTAAAAGTGTTTTGTCTTAACCATTTGACTTTTGTTGACTTGTTTGACTTTTGTTGAATTGATTGACTTTTGTTGACCTAGAATAGTCGGTTGTCACAGTTACAGTTCTTCAACGTTACATAGGGGACCGAATCAACAAAGATTCATGGACCGAGCCCACCATTTTAAAAGGGATATCAAACATGCTAATTGGATATTTTGGACCCCGTACACCTTTGTACCCAATAAGAAGCGAAATCAAAACACTCTTAGCTTGTTCGATCACCACCATTGATATAGGGAAATCTATAGAAAAGTCCTGAATTTTTGGGAAAATTTTCAATAAAATCCTAAAAGATTTTTTTTAACAGAAAAGTCTCGATTATTTAACAATTTGTCCAAATTAACGATTTGTTTTTTATTTTTTTTATTTTTTATATATATATTTGGACAACCAATGACATATTATATGAATTCTCAAAATAATAAGACTTCTCTGTTATAAAAAAATTAGAACTCTTTTAAACATTTTTATTAAAGTTTGTGACTAATTTGTAGATTTCCACAAATATATTATTATTATTATTATTATTATTATTATTATTATTAACTTATGAACATTTATCTCAAAATTAGACCTTTTGTACATGCTTTACCCTCAACTTTTCTTAATTTAAAGTTAGTTCTTTGCAAAAATCCAAAAACTCATGATTACGTATTAATTAAAAACAAACCAATACTTTTGTTTTTGCGCAACACCTAGTTGAATTTTCTTTAATAATCTTCATTAATAAATTAAAATCTTTTTGTAACATGTCTATTTCTTCTTCATTGGGATACATGATATTTTTTAAAATTTTTAAAATTTTCATTTTCCACTTGTCCTTTTATCGTATTAAATTAAAATTTCACATTTAATATATAAGATAATATATATAAGATATTTATTAGAAAAGATTTATATATGTAAAGTATTCAATTAATAAAAACCTCGTTATTTTTAATAATTCAAAATTTTTCTAATTTCTTTTATAAATTCAAATTTCTTAAATTGTTAAAATTTCATATATATATATATATATATATATATATATATATATATATATATATATATATATATATATATATAATTAAACTGATATAATACTTGAGTCTCAAACCTAAATCTCTAACAATTATCGTGAGATTTCCATAAATATATTAGAGAAAAATAGTTATAAAACTTGCTTTAAATCCAATATTTGAAAGTAGTACGGGATTCACTCCTAATATAATCTTTTATCATCACACCAGTTATTTATTTTTCAAATTTTAAACTTTCATCTTTATCCCTGTTTTTCTTATCCTTTATTTGTTTGTGTTAAAAGGGTTTCCGCGACCACCGGATAATCTTTCCTACTCTCACGGTTTCACCTTTTCTGGACTACCGCCTTCCTTCGCCGTTAGCCGGCACCGGTAAACCAAAATGATAATTTTAGAAAAAATTCTCACTTCCGTTGTCGTCTTCTTCCTCTTAACTGCACCATCCACTGCGGATATCATATCTCTGAATCTCTATTCTGATAATCGACATATGATATTTTTCTCGGATTTCGAATTCTCACATGCCGGTTACGTATCCTTCGATATATCTTCCCTGACGGTCAACTCCTCCACCTCCTTCGATCCTACGCATAGTGGTTTCGTCCTTCAACGGCGTGAGGTGCAAGACCAGCAAAACACTAGTATTTGCCCTTTGGATTTCAAATTAAACTCAACCGTCTTTACTTTCCAAGATCTTTCCCATGCGTTCAACAAATCATACCCTGTCACACATCCGGGTATGAACTCACTTTTCTTTGTCAATTGCAACGGCGAAGGCGAATCCTTTGTGACTACGGCCGGCCGTGCAGAGCTCTACAACATGGATGATGGTACTACCAGAAACTATTTATCAGCAGGGCTAACGCACCTCCCGTTTCTTTACTTCTTTTCCTCCTTCATTTATTTGCGTTTTCTAGGGTTTTGGATAAAGAACAAACGATGTTTTCACGGGATCCATTCACTCATGGGTGGGTTACTTGTTATGAATTATGTTCAGCTTATATGTGCGGCAGCCGATCTATATTTTGTGAAGGTTACAGGTACTCCTCATGGATTCGATGGCTTATTTTACATATTTCAGCTTATCAGGACTGTGCTTTTGTTTACCGTGATCACGTTGATCGGTACTGGATGGTGTTTGTGGAAGCCGTATTTGGAAGAATGTGAAATAGTGATTTTGATTTTTGTGATCGTAGTTCAGGTCTGGGCTAATGTAGATTCTATATTGATATGGAAATTCGACGGACCTTATAATATATACCGGGAACGTTGGACCTATAGTTCTACAACCTTAGATATCATCTGTTGCTTTGTTATTTTCGTCCCTATAGTGTTGTCAGTTATCTCGTTGAAGAAGAATCGTGAGGCTGATGCGAATGCTGCTATGAATCTGGTCAGGTTGTGCCTATTTGGGATTGTGGTTTTTTTATACGTGCTCTTTACGAGGTTTCTTGTTCGTGGATTATTTCCCGCATGGGTGAATTATGGGGTACAGGAAATCGGTATTCTTGTGGTATGTGTGCTGATGTTTTTCATTTTTAGGCCACTTGATGATGAGGATGATGATAAAAAAGCAGTCCAGATTAGCCCTTCTTCCTATTTTAGTGTGCGAGTTTCAAGTAGCTTTTCGTAGAACAATTTGAGTGTTTTAAGTTTGAGTTTTAGCTTTGTTCTTTACTGGTAGGTTGATGGATAGCTTTAGTTGATTTCAGAAGTTCCCATCGTAATTTAGCTTTGCAAATTATCATACTTTTGGGTTGTTTCTATGACCATTCCTCCCCTTTATTCAAACTTGACTTTTTTTGGAACATGAACTTTTTTTTATACTGTAATCTTTTTACATTTATCAAACCAAACAGAAAACAAAAAGGATTTCATTTCGATTTCTGCCAATCAGAACCAAACACACACCAAAGAGAGAGCAGCTAGTCTCATTTTCTAAACTTGTTGCTTGTAAACACAGCTTTTATGTTTATACATGTCAAAAGCCCCAAAATGGTTTGTTCTTTCACCAAGATACATAAGATACTTTTGAAAGAATGAATTCAGAATTTTACAATATTCACATTTTACTTTTATGTAAAAAAAACGGGATAGAAGAAATGGTATTGCCTAGTACAAATTTCGAAAATTACAATTGGGAAAATGACTTAAAAGGGTAAAAATGTTTCAAAAATGTACAAAAAACACCATCATTCTTTTTTTAGTGAAAAAAATACCATTAAAGTGAATTTTTTGTACAAAAAATACCAACAAAGTACAAATAACCTTTTAAATGACCTGAGGTAACCGGTTACCTCAAGTCAACTACTGAACGTCTTTATTAACCTTCATTCATCAAATTAGGGTTCCATCTTTATCCCCCTTCTTCATCTCTTTTGGCTCCTATGGCATCTTCAAGTTCATCGAATTATTCGAACATTTCGAAGAGCAGGAGCACAATTGATTATGCCCACCCTTGTCACTGTGAGAAGCCTTCCCAAGTTTGGACCTCAACTACGACTAATAATCCGGGTAGAAAGTTCAGAGTATGTCGTAACTCACTAGTAAGTGGTTCTAGCATCTATCATCTACTTCTTCTTCATACTTAATTTGTTATGTGAATTTTATTATGTATATTGAAGGATAAGAAGAAGAAGAAATGTGATTTCTGGGAATGGGTCGATCAAAATGAAGAACTAATAAAAGAAGACAACACTGAAGTCAAGATATCAATATTGGAAAATAATTTTTGGACACATAAGGTGAAGGCAGATAAAGAATCAATGAGTTTCAGAAAAGACTTGGATAAATTAACTAGGAAGTATTGGAATCTCAAATGTTGTATGTTGTTGTTCTTTGTTATGTTTTGTATGAATGTTATGTTGAAATGAAATGAAAATTGTAATGTAATGACTTTGGTAATGTATTTAGAAAGTTTGGTTAACTAAAAGTCTTGTGTTGGAATTGATTTATTGGTTACTGCTTAATACTGAAATGGAATCATTGATTCCTGAAATGGAATGGATTTATTAGTTACTGCTTAATATTGATTCTTCACACAGGATTGGAATTAATGGTTCCTGATTAATTATCTTTGTGTATATAGAAATGAAATTAATGATTTTTGGTTAATTGTCATTGTGACTGCAAGAATGGAATGGAAATATTGATTATTGCTTTATATTGATTCTTCACACATGAATGGAATTAATGGTTCCTGATTAATTATCTTTGTGTATATAGAAATGAAATTAATGATTTTTGGTTAATTGTCATTGTGATTCCAAGAATGGAATCATTGATTCCTGAAATGAAATGGAAATATTGATTATTGCTTTATATTGATTCTCCACACATGAATGGAATTAATGGTTCCTGATTAATTATCTTTGTGTATATAGAAGTGAAATTAATGATTTTTGGTTAATTGTCATTGTGATTCCAAGAATGGAATCATTGATTCCTAGAATGGAATGGAAATATTGATTACCAAACCACACATTGGAATGGCCTTGTCCAGGAATTAATGATTCTTGGTTTATATATTGGAATGGCCACATATTGGAATGGAATTAACTATTCTTGGTTTATATATTGAAATGGAATTAATGATTCCTGGTTTATATAATGGGATAAAGTTGGACCACATATTGGAATGGTCTTGTCTCTGTCCTTGTCCATAAATATAAACACTCACATTACCAAACCACATGCATTATCTAAGTGGGACCACATACATTAAATATACACATTACTACATACATTAAATATACACATTACCACATACATTGTCAAAATACACATTACACATAACCACATGTAGCTTCAGCAGTTTTTGACTTAAATGTAAACAAGACATCAAAAGTTGTGCCTAACAAAAGATTCCCTACCAAAAGTTGTCCTGCACTTACCAAAAGATTCCCTAAAAAAAGCTAACAAAAGTTATCCCCATTACTACTCCTAGAGTGTTACAGGATTTTCAAGACTTCCCCCTGTATCATCCTTGGTCACCACCTTCCTCCTCAACCGAAGTTTTATGTTCCTCTGAGAAGGACCGCACTTTCTCCTTTTCAAAGTTGGAGCAACCACATGATGATTCACCACTTCTTCATCAACTAGTTGTTCAACCTCCATCTCTAAATCATCCTCTGAATCTCCTTCAACTTCTTTCCCTGAATCACCTCCAACCTCATCCTCTAAATCAACTCTAACTTCCTCAGCTTCCTCATGGTCTTGTCCCTGTCCTTCTCCCTGTCCTTGCCCTTGACCCTGCCCCTCACCCTCAAATAGCTCATGGTAATCAAAGAGATCTGAATCATCTACTGCATTAAGCTGTTTCAGAGGACATTTCCTCTTGTTATGACCTGGTTGGGAACATAAACTGCATTTAGAAGTGATCCCAACTTTGCTGACAGTGTGTCTGTCACTTCTTTCTTAAATGCATTTCTTCCTGTTTGTCTTTGGTCTGCCAGGCAATCTTCTACGCTTTGGTGGTAAGATGGTATTCATATCATTTGTTGGCCACATTTCATGTCCATTAATTGGCTTAACATTATACTTGTAGCAGCTTCCAAACATTTGTGTTGTGTACCAATTTGCTACATACTCCTCTATATTCCCATTCAAGCACAAGATTGCAGAAATAGTATGTACACATGGTATACCTGTCAGTTTCCATGATCTACATCCACATGTTCTTTTATGTAAGTCAACTGCATACACCTCATTCAACCATCTACACTCATATTGATGAAAACCACTTGGAATTACTCCCCAAAACCTGTTATGAAATGTAACATATATATATATATATATATATATATATATATATATATATATAATGTATAAATACCTCTATATTTTCTTCATGTCCTCAATCTTCCTTCTTATTGAGGGACAAATGTCCAAGTTCCACTTCAATCCCTTCCTTTACTGAGTAAACATCCTTTCCATGACATACACTTTAATGTCTTCCAACATTGCTATTATTGGTTTTTTTCTAGCTTCCACAATAGCTGCATTAAATGACTCCGATACACCATTTTCAATGGCATCACTACCACTATCTTCCCTAAAAAAATGCCCTGGACCATGTGTTTGGTTTTTTTTTCCATCAGTTGTTCATAGGCAGTATTGTCAATCAGTTTGATATCCTTCATGATGTCTTCAAATTTTGTGGTTGTTGTGGCCTTGGCAGCAAACCAGAAAAGTTTCCTGTATTCTGCTCCTGAGAATTTTTTCTTGAAGTTGGCATAAACATGCCTGGCACATTGTCTATGCTCACATTCTGGCACTCTTTCCTTAACTGCTTCAATCAGTCCCTATTAAGTAACATTTTGATGTCATTATAAGTTAAAAATAAAATAGAAATACTATTATGAAAAAACAGTTGAGTACCTTGTGTTGGTCAGATATGATGGTTAGTCCTCTACCTTGTCCCATATCAATGTCTTCAAGTAATAGATCCAAAAACCATTTCCAATTTGCCTTATTTTCAACTGGTACAACAGCCCAGGCTAGAGGATACATTTGGTTATTAGCATCCCTACCAACAGCTAAAACTACCTCACCTCTACAAAGTCCCTGTAAAAAACATCCATCTACACCAATCACTCTTCTACACCCCTCAATCCAACCATCCTTCACAGCCTTCAAGCAAATATACATCTTAGAAAAATGGACTGTAGAATCAGGCATGATATCCACATCCAATTTCACTGTGGAACCTGGATTAGTCCTCAATAACTCCAAACCATAACTCCTAAGCTTTTCATAGTGTGCCACTAAGCTCCCTTCTATCTCATCCATTGCAATTTTTTTGGCATTTCTACACTGTCCAAAACTAACTTTTAGATTAAAATCTCTAAGGACTGCTGCTGCCATTTTCCTGTAACTAATTCTTGGATTATCTATTATGGTTTCTATTAATTGTTTTCCAATCCAACTATATGTGACCATTGAACCTAAATTTAAGGCCCTACTACAATTATGTTCAGAGATTAAGGACTTAATCTGAAATGATCTTTCTTTACTCATCCAAGTTGCCCACAACCTAAAAGGGCATTTAGACTTCTCTTCACCTTTGCAACATCTAACTAATAATCTTGTTGAATCATTTTTTTCATACCACAGTTTATACCCATTAGCAACAGCATAATTACTTAACAAATGCTTAAGTTCATAATGATCACAGAATTTCATACCTAAGACTAGAAACATTGTATCCCATTTTTGGTTAGGATCACGAACTGGATACTTATGAAGATTTTTCATGACATCTTTCTTATCATCTTTCTCATCATCCACAATTCTTGGAGGCTTGAAAAATTTTCTTCTAATGAAAGGATCATCAAAATGGCTGTAGTTGTATCACTTCATCATCAGGCTCATGCTCCACGAACTCATCATCTGAAAGCTCAGAGTCTACATCATCATCATCATCCGTATTACCATCTACTGATCCATCTTTAGCTATCTCTTCTTCAATCCACTCCATAACTGGATATTGACTGTGATCAATGTACAAATTGATCATACCCCCATTCTCATACCCAGCATCAAGGAAACAAACATAATCATTTTCATCTTCCAAGACTCTTAACCCATCTCTCAGTGAACGTTGTGGAAGACAATAGTACACATTGATTGTTCCATCCTTGACCAACTTCTTCACATACGAGATGAACTCCATGAAACTCATGCTTCTGAAATCGACATTACTAACAACCATTTTTACTGGATTGAAATACACAATCGGTTTGGGGACAAAAGAACCTGTATGATTTACTTCGATTGTGAACTTGGAATCCATTGTGATTCTGTGGAAAGGATGAACGAACGAAGTAGAAGGAAAAAAGGAACCCTTGATTTTGGGGGAAATAACAAAGGGTAAGGGCACAATTATTCTGATAAATCTTTTAACCGGCTAACCTATAATACCCGATTTAATGGTATTTTTTTTACTAAAAAAAGAATAATGGTGTTTTTTTTGTACGTTTTAGAAACATTATTACCCTTTTAAGTCATTTTCCCAAATAAAATCCCCACGTTCATATCTTCTCTTCTGTCTCCTCCCACCTCCGACCCTGTAGAGCGTCGATCACCTCCTCCGACCTCCTCCCGTCGTCGACCTTCCCTGAAATCGACTCTATCAGCCGATCACCGCCTCTGCTTGCGCCGCCTTTTCCACCGGTAATGAACCCCTCCATCTTCCTCAAATTCTAAAACCCTCCACAGTTCGATACAATTAAATTTGTTGGGGACAATGGCGACGGTATATGTTCAGAGCTCCGGCAGCTAGTGGTGGTGGTGTCCTTTAACATCCATCACCACTCAATCACCAAACCTGGCAGATATGGGGGATCAGAGTCACCACCGAGCTGTCGCTCCCACGGCTTTCCAATTCCACCCGACATGACCAACCATCATCGACGTGTTCAATCTATACCTCAGCGACCGCGATAATTCAGACGATTTGGTCTGAGAACCTCTGTATGTTTTACTCTCTCTACGTTTCAATTTCAATGAATAATAAAAGTTTTTTTGATACATGGATGTTGATGATGAGATTATGTGACATCCCCAAAATCTCGGCCAGAAAAAAACCGATTTTCATTTATGCTTTTAAATAAATTCAGAGTAAATCCTTTTGATTTGAAAGAGTTGTGGAATTTGTTCCCAAAAACAAAACATGATAAAACAATGTTTACCAAAGCATTTCATAAAAGAAATGTATTTTCATTATAATCAAAACTCGGGGTGTCATGTTCCGATACAGATCAATAAGCATAACCGAATACATTACAAGTCATAAAACAAATATAAACATATGCAGACTTGCAAACAAAACAACTTGATGGTTCGTCTATCTCATGCCCTTCCGCCACTTCCTGTAATACAAATAAAACTGAGTGGGTCAGGCTTGGGAGCCTGGTGAGCATATAGGGTTTTCAACCCACAATAAATAATTAAATTAATTATTATCAACCAACAATAACCCAGTTACCCATTCCCGTTATTCTCACTTTACGTCCCTAAAATAACTAACACAAGGGACCTAATCTAAGTATATTTTCATCGGGGTGACAACACATGCTGCGGGGGTTCCTCAGCAATATAAGTCAAATAAGGCAACCATGAGGGGATGGAATACAACGAATGAACACCCAAGTTCATTAACACTTACAGGTTATGAGCCTGCTAGCGTTCCACTAGACTGTCTAGAAAAGTCCGTGGTCGTCATCTAAATTCCGCTAGATGACTGGATCAAAACAACAACGAGGCCTCTCATCTGTTTATTACACTCCAACTATCTACCCATGTTCTACCCAACATATTAGTAGATAAAAACATACATTTTTATACATATTTTCAAAACCTGTATAGCATGCTTGATCAATACATTTTCCATATAACAGATGAGGGACACACACATAACATGTATTTCATATAGAAATAATCATATCTGTAAGATAGAAGAAAGTGAATATACATTCACACACATAACAACAAAATATACACATAACACGTATCTCGTATAAAATACTTCGTAGTTATACGTTATGAGAAAGTAACAACGCATTCACACGTATAAACGACAATAAACTTAATACACTCGAACCATACTTGTATTATTATTGCGTTTATGAAAGGTAATATACACTCACTTGATCAGAAGATGATCGGACAGCACTACGGCTTGCAAAAGTCGTAATCCTCTGCAGATCTGGAAGATCTCTACGAAAATCGAACTTCTCGCGGGCAGAGCTTCGGCTCGGAAACCGCACTTCTCGGGATCTTCGGGATCTCGGGAATATTACCGGGGCTTCGGGATGGCTTCGGGGGTAAAAACGCAGAGCTTCAGCACAAAAACGAGAGGAAATTAGCAATTAAACCCGGACCCCTCGCATCCTATTTATAGGAGGCTGGAAGCCCGAGTTACGCGGGGCGTACAGCAGTATGCAGCGCGTACTGCTTCCGAAATGCGTCATCGCATGCGTCATCCGAAGTGTCAACACTTTGGCTGTACGCGGGGGAGTACGCGGCGTGTACCTCGGATCAGATCTGTGACTCCCCCTTCGGATAATGCCGGATTTTTGATTTAAAAATAAATACAAATTATTTATCAAACTTTGGAAATTCATATCTTCTTCATACGAACTCTGTTTTCGACGTTCTTTATATCCACGGAAAGGTGAGACTACGCTCTACAACTTTCGTTTAGACTCCGTCGGCTAATTTTGAATTTATTTTTATTATTTATTTTTAATAGGCCGGGACAGAAAATTTCGTTATAAATTCATAACTTCTTCGTTTGACGTCCGTTCTCGCCTAGCTTTTTATCGCTTTGAAACTAACAACGAGATCTTCGATTCTTGTTTAGATCACTAAGGCTAAATATCGCTCTAACGTAAATTTCACTTTTTACGTTAATCAGCGGTGCCGGTTCTGTCGTGAAACTTCGACAGGTCATAACTTCCTCGTTATAACTCGGATTTCGGCATTCTTTATATCTTCGGAAACCTTGTTTCAACTACTACAACATTATCTAAATATATCAAGTTTATTTTACACTTAAATTTTTGACGCTTTTTTTATTCTTAATTATCAAAACACATAATTAAGCAATTAAGCACAAAACACGTAATACTCAAATAATACAATCTTATTATTTCAAAACGGGTTACAAAGGTTAACCTAGACCATTACATTGCTAAAAATGGCAAGCCCGGAAACACAGGCGTTACAATTCTCTCCATCTTAGAATGATTCCGTCCCCGGAATCACACATCAACAAACAAATGCGGATAGCGACTCAACATGTCACTCTCCGTCTCCCAGGTGAGGTTCGGCCCATTCGTGTGTTTCCATCGGACAAGCACTAACTCGACCATCTTGCGTCGCAACTTCTTAGTCTTTTGGTCAATAATTGCCTCTGGTTCTTCAATCAACCTTTTTTTCTCATCAATTCTCAATTCAAAAATTGGAATTATATCGGGAACTTCTCCCGTGAACTTCCTCAAATAACACACATGAAAAGTGTTGTGAATTCCATTCAGTTCTTCGGGTAATTCGAGCTTGTAAGCTTGGTTCTCAATCCTCTGAAGAACTTTAAACGGTCCAATAAACCTTAGACTCAACTTTCCCCTTTTTCCAAATCTTATAAGTCCCTTCCACGGCGAGACTTTAAGCAAAACCGAATCCCCAACCTCAAAAGTTATCGGTCTTCGCTTCTTGTCAGCATAACTCTTTTGACGATCTTGAGCTGCTAACATTCTTTCCCTAATTATTTTCAACTTTTCAGCAGTTTGATGAACCATCTCCGGTCCCATAAACTGCTTTTCCCCAGCCTCAAGCCAACAAGACGGCGTACGACACTTTTGTCCATACAAAGCTTGGTAAGGTGCCATCTTAATGCTCGAGTGAAAACTATTTTTATAGGAGAATTCTACCAGTGGTAAATGTTCATCCCAATTACCTAGGAATTCCAAGGTACATGCTCTCAGCATATCTTCAAGTGTTTGTATCGTTCTTTCACTCTGACCATCGGTCTGCGGATGGTAAGCTGTACTTAAACATAACTTGGTACCCATTTCCTCTTGTAGACTTTTCCAAAACCTCAAAGTGAAACGACTATCACAGTCCGATACAATCATTAACGGAACACCGTGAAGCCTCACAATTTCTTTTACGTAAGAATTTGCAAGCTTTTCCATAGACCATTTCTCCCTGGCTGCTATGAAATGCGCACTCTTAGTGAATCGATCAACGACCACCCAAATCATGTCGTGACCATTCTTTGTTCTGGGCAGTTTAGTGACAAAATCCATAGCAATGTCTTCCCACTTACCCATAGGCACAGGTAAAGGTTCTAAACTCCCGTACGGTTTCTGATGTTGTGTTTTTACTCTTGCACAAGTCACACACTCAGCCACATACTTTGCAACATCAAGCTTCATCGTCGGCCACCAGTAGTAGGGTTTCAGGTCCCTATACATTTTAGTGCTACCGGGATGAATCGAGTACATGGTCTTGTGAGCTTCTTCCATCAGAAGATCCCTAATTCCTCCTGACTTAGGTACCCAAATACGATCTTGGAATACCTTCAGTCCATGACCGTTTGTACCAAACACCAATGTTTTGCCCAAACGTTCCTCCTTCCGGTCATTTTTCTCAGAAGCTTCCTCTTGAGCTTTCTTTCTACTTTCTAAAATAGTCGAGACAACTTCAATTCTCAACTTTCTTGGCCTTTTCCTTTCAAGATTGACTTTCCGACTGAGACCATCAGCAACAACATTAGCTTTACCGGGATGGTAAAGTATCTCACAGTCGTAGTCCTTGAGTAACTCTAGCCAGCATCGTTGCCTCATATTTAACTCTTTCTGATTGAAGAGATACTGGAGACTCTTATGATCAGTGAAAAGTTTGCACTTCGTGCCATAGAGGTAATGCCTCCATATTTTCTGAGTGAAAACTACCGCTGCCAATCCAAATCATGAGTCGGGTAGTTCTTTTCATGCTCTTTCAGTTGTCGAGACGCATATGCTATCACCTTTTCTCTTTGGGTTAAAACACAACCCAATCCAACCCCAGACGCATCGCTATAAACAGCGAAGTCTTCAACTCCATCGGGTAGAGAAAGTATCGGTGCCTCGCATAGCTTCTTCTTTAGCTTCTCGAATGCTTCTTTATGCTTCTCACTCCAAGCATAAGCAGCTCCTTTGTGGGTCAAAGCTGTCAACGGAGTAGCGATCGAAGAAAAACCTTGGATAAACCTGCGGTAATATCCGGCTAATCCTAAAAAGCTTCGAA